GGACTTTACTCCGAAAGATGGTTTTTCGATTATAACTTTTCACAACATTTAAGTATAGACTTTTGAAAAAAGTACAGAATAGTCCTTATACTTTTGAATAATTCTGTTATTTCTGATTCACACGACTCTGATTTGTTTAATTGAAAAAAAAGTTTTAAAAATATTACTTAGGAACGTAACCGGAGCTGGGAACGTAACCGGAGCAGATCAGTTGAATTATTTAATCAAAAAAAATAAAATATATGATTTAAAGCACATATACTAATTTAAAAACATACGGGATTGTTCGAATGCGTATTTATTAATATATATGCTTTAAATCATATATTTTATTTTTTTAAATTATATAATTCAACTGATCTGCTCCGGTTACGTTCCCAGCTCCGGTTACGTTCCTAAGCAATATTTTTAAAACTTTTTTTTAATTAAACAAATCAGAGTCGTGTGAATCAGAAATAACAGAATTATTCAATAGTATAAGGACTATTCTGTACTTTTTTCAAAAGTCTATACTTAAATGTTGTAAAAAGTTATAATCGAAAAACCATCTTTCGGAGCAAAGTCCGACTGCGCCGATTTCAATAACTTCGTACTTGATCAGAACTGGGTTCCAACAGAATTCCTACAAACTCATAAATGAAATAGCCATTGCATGGAATACTTACTTTTGTCAAAATCAAAGTAGAACTCCAGTTAAAAAATATATTGTGCTCAATTATTGCCATTTCTTAGTAAAATGTCGTTCTCCGGTACGTTGCCAAAATTATTCGATGGTACCCCGTGATATATATTGAAATAGGTGAGATGGCCCCTTACCTAACTCCCACTGACTCCTTTATAACTTCTATATATATTGAAATAGGTGAGATGGCCCCTTACCTTACTCCCACTGACTCCTTTATCACCTCTATATATCGAAATAGGTGAGATGGTCCCTTACCTCAGTTCCATTGGCTCCTTTATAACTTCTATATATTGAAATAGATGAGGAGGTCCCTTATCTCACTTCTCACCTCAGTTCAATTGGCTCCTTTATAACTTCTAAATATATTGAAATAGGTGAGATGGCCCCTTACCTTACTCCCACTGACTCCTTTATAACTTCTATATGCATTAAGGTAGATGAGATGGCCCCTTACTTACTCCCACTGACTCCTTTATAACTTCTATATGCATTAAGGTAGATGAGATGGCCCCTTACCTTACTCCCATTGACTTTTTTATAACTTCTATATATTGAAATAGGTGAGATGGCCCCTTACCTTACTCCCACTGACTCCTTTATAACTTCTATATATATTGAAATAGGTGAGATGGCCCCTTACCTTACTCCCACTGACTCCTTTATCACCTCTATATATATTGAAATAGGTGAGATGGCCCCTTACCTTACTCCCACTGACTCCTTTATAACTTCTATATATATTGAAATAGGTGAGATGGCTCCTTACGTTACTCCCACTGACTCCTTTATAACTTCTATATATATTGAAATAGGTGAGATGGCCCCTTACCTTACTCCCACTGACTCCTTTATCACCTCTATATATATTGAAATAGGTGAGATGGCCCCTTACCTTACTCCCACTGACTCCTTTATCACTTCTATATATATTGAAATAGGTGAGATGGCTCCTTACGTTACTCCCACTGACTCCTTTATAACTTCTATATATATTGAAATAGGTGAGATGGCCCCATACCTTACTCCCACTGACTCCTTTATAACTTCTATATACATTGAGGTAGGTGAGATGGTCTCCTTCATGTGAGATGAACTTTGCCTGTACAGCAGAGGCCTCCTCGCGTTTACTGGCAGGACTGTGCATGATTGACTCAACTGATAACATAGAGACGATGGTCAATATTTCCTCACTGAAATATAAACAAAGTTTAACTCACAAAATATTGTTATCTTATGCAGTGCTTTAATATCTTTTAAACTAAAACTTAAGAGACTGATCTTTTTACAAATCAATACAAAATTGTTAGTTTTACAGTATTTTAGACTGACATCATTCCAAATGTCATCACATGTTCTAAAAAGTCCATCCTCCGATCACAGGGCTTCAAAATCCAGAATATATTCTTTCTTTTTACCCCCTGCGATAAGCAGTAAACATTTCCCCGATTAAGAACTCGCAATCTGATTGGCTGTCGCAATACTGTGACAGAAATCATGTATAAGTCATTGCGCATAATTAGATCACGTGATTCAGTTTAATCAGGCGCTTCCAAATTGGTTATAGCAGGGGGAAGAAGGAGGTACGGATTCTGGATACCTGCTTAGGAGGACGTAAAAAGTCCAAAATGTAATTCTTTGAACTAAACTTAATTTTAAGAAAATACATTGATTTTAGCTAGCATGAAGATAAGAAATATGATCTGGATTCTAGGCATTTGACAATATACAGATGTATATAATTGTAGTGTAATTCTGAAAAGTGGACATTCTGTTTTTGCAAATCTTTCATTACTTCCATATTTGTACAGATATCTCAAATCTTTATAAACGTATTTCTTACAGGCAGTCAAAATCAACTGCTTTCAGGATGACCTTTGCAAGACTAGGGTCAAGTGGAAATGCTGCCATCTTTCTTCCAAGAGGAGTAAGCTAAAATAGAAAATTAAACAATTTTTATCCCTACTTAGGTAACAACACAATAGAATGAGCTGTATTGTATTTTTAAGAATGTGCATAACATAACATTGCACTTGGCAAACTATCAACAAGGCAATATCAAAGCAAAATATCAAAACCTGCCATTTGTTACTCGCACCCAACTTCAAAAACCAAGCTTATTTAGACTATGATAATTAGACGCCTTCATTAAGACATGGTATATTATAATGGGAAAATGATCAGTAGTCTAACTTCATATTGGATAATAATTGACTTCGTCTAATGAATTTCATAAAGAAGCATGATTGACATTGTCATTGCATGTGCTGGTTCATTTTCTCTGCAAATAAGCTGAAAATATTGAAATTTCTTTTAAAAACAATCTGCTCCACCCCATTATTCAAATTTATTGATGATACGACATCCAGAAGTTCCCATTTCGTATACTGTGATAATATTACAAATTCCTAATTGAACCATTGTGGATTAGTCCCAAATGTGTCTGAAGTTTGTCAAGCACTAAAACAGTGTAAAAGTTGTATTAAATTGATTTCACTCCATTAAGACTATATTCTTGCTACCTTAAAGGCTGCTCTTTACTATGATGAGCAACTAAAATTCCCCAAATTTCATTCTATAATGTTATCGGGGATATAAAGTCAGCATGTCTCTGTTTTAGTGGAAAAATTGATTTCAACTTGCGATCGCAAAAAAATTTTCGGTTTTCAGTCAGGTTTTCAGTGCGATTGTGGCATAAACAAGCCAAAAAAATAAGATTTATTTTGAATTTTCCAAAAATTGATGCAACTTCCTTCAAAATTGAGCTGGAAGCTTCAAATAAAAAGCATTTTAAGGGTCCTGACTTCTTCTTTGTAATGGTTTTATTTTCATTGATTATGGGGGTGGGATTATCGCACCCCCTGGCTATGCATATGTGATGCATCAAAAGTTTACAATACAATTTTATAAATAAGAATAAAAGCCTGAGCCAAATATTGCATGATTTAAGGCTAATTCCATCAATTTTGTAGTTTAGATCTTTGTAATGTTGTTAGGCCAAAAAATATTATTATTATTGGTTTACTTTTTTTTAATTGACATGCAGTCTAACGCATGTGTATCAAAAATTTATTATATTTGTAATGAATAATTTTGCAATGCCTTTTCCATTGAAATTATATTTTTTGAATTTTAATCAATTAGAAAAAATGTTCATTGTTATTGAAACAAAACATCTTCCCTTACATCTGGAAGTTCTCATACATGAAATACATTTGCCACTGGATCCATAAACTCTGGTAAACAATAGCTCAAATAATTGAGTAGGATAAGATTGGCCTTGATAGTCATTCAAACACGATATCTGAGATTTTATTGTCAAACAATACATGTTTCCTAACAAGTTCTCATAAATGGAGTATTAAACTTGTCACTTGCAATCTTCAAATTTGGTGAATGATCTTTCAACCACTGTAATGTTGCATCTGCCTCATGTATTTGAAATATCAGATGACTTGGTTGTTTTAGACACTAATCTATCATCATTTTATCTTAGAATAAAATAGGTTGAATAAGTTAAATAGGTTATAATAATGTTCAGTGACTTTCAATACATATTACTGTATTTGGAGAAAGCTAAAGGTTTTCAAATAAAAATGCCACTAAAATCAATAGATCTGACCACTTTTTCTGGCTCTACGATTTGTTTGAATTCTAAAGAGTTTTCTATAGATTACAAACTCAAGTAGTAAACAAAATCCTTTCGTCATACTTTTTCTTGAGGTGTTTGATAATCTTGCTGTCATTTTATCATACTGACCTTATTATCATCTGTGTTTTCTATGGCACCAAGCAGTTTTAATTGCACAATGGCATTCTGTATAGACTGGAAAGTGATAAATAATTCAACATCATTGGGGCATTCAGAACAGTAGAGTTACCCTTTGAAGTCAGGGAGGGTTTAACTATGTCAAGTGTTTATTTCTAAGAATAATTTCAAACATCTCTTTAAGAAATCTCTACCTACAAGTAACATACACCTTTCTTTCATATATGATATATAGTCACAAATTTAAAGTTAGGAAATTATAAAATAGAGTATTAATTAAAGGATGAGGTTATCAAATATGATGTATAATCTAAGTCATATAATATAACGTCAGATCCACTACAATATACAGATAAAATATACATCACATAAAACAAATCAACATATTTCATATTTAGTAAATGAAGAATTAAACCGAATAACCCCTAAAGATTTGAGTGATACATAAATAATATTAAACACATTTAAACCATGAAAATCAATGTTTAGACTGATGTGATGTTCATTTTTCTAATGGAAATCATAAATGTAATCGGTGTAAAATTGTAAAGAAGTGTTAAAATTTAATTCAAAGCAGATTATTGTCAAGGAATGCAGTTCCAGCTCATACATATTTCAATGGTGATATCATTGGTTTGAAAATATGTGTCTAACTTAAATACATGTAGCCTGATATCTGCATATAGTTGACAGTTTATTGCTTTATTACGGTTTATTGCAATCGAACTCCTGTGGTGCACTATCAACAAGCCGTTGCGGTTGATACATGCGAGCAGCCGACAAGGTTGAATTCGAAATCAGAAGTAATGAATGACTCTCTATTCAAAAAGGATTCTGACTGAGGGCTTACTAATGGTAATCATCTTTCACAGGATTATTATTCCCCTACCCCTCAGGGTTTTGGGGAATATTGCTTGTGAAAGATACACATATATTCAACTCAACAGAATGAAATAATTGTATAATATACAAATATTTAATTCTATTGAGGTGAATACCTGTGCATCTTTCACAAGTGATATTCCACGAAGCCCGAAGGGCTAGTGGAAATATCATCTTGTGAAAGTGTCACAGGTATTCACCGAAAATAGAATTAAATATTTGTTTTATTATATCACTGTCATAACATCTTCTATAATATAATAAGTCTTCTAAAATATAACAATAAATACAATAAATATCAACTACCAAATTGTATAGTTCATAAATATCAACTCCAAAGTGTAGTATTTTAATTTAAGGTTTCATGTTAACATTATAATTAATTGTAATATTGCAATGGGTCAATGAAAATGGAACCATTGTGTTCATACTCACAGAATTGGCCATGTGGGTAACAAGGTTGGGAATGTTTTTCAAATGTCCATTCATGACCGTTGAATATCATTTGATATTCACCGGAAGTCACGTGACTTCCGTTGAATATTGCTAGTTATCTTTTAGTCACATGTAGGACATGGACCAATGAGAGAGTGAGGAATATGACAGTGATATAATAATACTATATATTACGATGTTACATGAAACCCAGGACACTTTAATAAAAAAAAATTTTTTTTACAACTACAAAATACCAAGAAGGCATTAACATGCAAAATTTCACTACCTGCCATTTGACACAGTTGACAACCGCTGAATGCCGACACCAACTGCTAAATGCCAAACACCATCCACAAAAAGTTGGAGACTATAACAATATGTCACCCCTTTTGGTGGTGACATAAAAATCAATCTGAATGATTTTGATATTAAAATGAGTAATATTTTTTAAATATTATTATTATTTCAGGCTCCCCTACAACATCCAAAATCATAAAATGGGTTACATATTTTGTTCAGATATTAATTTATGCCATAAAATATTTAAAGAAGTCATATTGTTTGATCCACTGAATGCAAACTTCCAGTTATTGTTTTGAATTATTTCTGTTTGTTCTTTTTTTTGTTTAAAAAAGTGTTCAACACTTGGACTGAACAGAAAGCCATGCATGTTGTGTAATGTGACATTAACAGCTTTTGCAACACGGCCTGTAATGTAAAAATCCTCCATCGAGACAAACTTCAAATGTAGCGATGCGTCATATAATGTCTTCACTGCAGAGCCGGAAATAACATATGCCATACCACTAGCGTATTGTGGGAAAAAGTCCATGGGAAATTCCTCCCTCGATACATACCATTTATTTTTTTTGTCCCTGAAAACAGGTCTCTTTGATCCTAATGGCCCCATATGTCCATATATAACCTTATTACTGTTACTTTTCTCCAAATATTTTACTAAACTGAATATATTGACAAAAACATCATCGTCAACTTTGAGAGCAAATGTAGCATTTGGGCAATACTCTCCAACCCATTTTAATCCCATCACACCTTTATATGTTAAATTTCTGTACGAGTCCACAAAGTTCTCTTGAATTATGTCCTTAAATTGTAGACTCTCCGCTCTTATTTTGGATTGTAGAGTCTCAGTAGTTTTTCCAAGCAAAAAAATAACTTTGACATTTTTGTCAGGTTTATTATATGAAGTTGTATTTCCCCACGTACTCCTGATGGCCGTTCTGCGAACAAAATTTCCTGGTGCTGTGTAGACATACACAAGAAGAAAAACATCGTTCTTGCAAGTTTGATTTTCATTGATTGTGAATTCAAAATCATGTGGATTGCTGATTTCAGCTGTATAGTTAACTGGATCAATTAAATCATTTTCTCTCCCTTTTCTGGTATCAGATATATTCAGTTGTATAACTGGCTTGCTTGACGTTGTGCTATTTGCACTGTCATGCAAACTGTTTTTGGTACTTCTTATCCGAGGCATAGTTTTATTGTCAATTCCTATTTGAGACATAGTTCCAATGGTAGTTATGTTGTTGCTATTCTCAATTATATCATTCTTCCTGCTTGATAAAGTGATATTGTCATCGTGATGTCTTAGTTTTACCTTCTCTTCTTGCCTCAGATCTGTCAAAATTTTCGCAGTGGTCGAATGACAGTCGAGGATTGTTTCTTTGTTCTTAGTGTACAGATATACACACAACATCAGCATTAAGATTATAATGTAGTTACACTTATAATTTGAGGTCAACACTTTTTGAACGGCTCTGTTGACTCTCATCCTTATTACTTCAAAAGATTCACTTTAAGCTATTATAGATACAACTGCAGCCCTTTAGTATTATAATGCCAGCAACTAATTTAAAGGCCGTGTGTAAAGTTTAAATCACTTTGGCTTGCATTGCAATCTTAACGTTCGATATTTAATCTGTTGAATCCTTCAGGAAAACTGCTATATTAAAGCAATGAAATTCTCACAGGCAATACAAAAGCAATCTTTTGCAATATTCAACCAATAAATATCGTTGTAAGTGATTTTAAGTGATGAAACCTTGGCACATCAATCTGTATGTGACATAAGTGTTTTATCTACAGTAAAACCTGTCTAATCCGAACACCATTGGGACCGGCTTAAACGTTCAGATTAGGTGTTCACATTTTGAGGTTTTTGTATTCGCGAGATTTCTGATTCTGAAGAAATTTGAACACATTCTCGGTACATATTTATAGTTCATTTGACCACATAGCTTTACGGCATTTCAGAAATTTGAAAATTCAATTCAAATGAATCCAGTCATGCTAAAAAGCCCTAGTATAGGTTAATCAAGACCATTTAAGTTTTTTCCCAAAGTGTTGATATAACAATATTTGAGCAATTTTGTATGAAACATGTGAAATTTTATGAAAAGTGTTCAGATTAGACAGGTTAATTTTTCAAATATGACTGTTCACTGTTCAAATTGAGAGGTGTTCACATTTCAAGTTTTTTTTAACATGGGAGTCAATGGGAGAAAAAAATGGGACCGAAAAAAAGTGTTCAGATTGGGAAGTGTTCGGATTAGCCAGGTGTTCAGATATACAGGTTCTACTGTATTATCATTTTTATTTTAATTCCAGATTTTATATTATAACCTCGCCATAAAGAGCATCCAATGACTTTGTAAACGTTCATAACCCTGCTATAAAATTAGTATTTTGATTGTATTCTGGTTTCACTCTCACTTTAGCATCACCTGACTAAGCATTGTATGAATGGCCACAGTTGAATTAAGCTGATTAGCCTTGATGAACATTGGTAATGACCAGCATCATTTTACAGTGTTAATTTGGTGTAACACTGTACTTAAAATACATGGATATTTGTGTAGTATGATGTTCACTGCCAAGTGAATCCCGGGAAGTGAATTAGCATTTCAGTTTTGCTTAATATCCCAGACATTGATATGATTTTGTACTAGTTATTTGTTGTCTATTCCTTAGTCTTCTGTTGTCTACATTTAACACTTTACACATCAATCATAGAAGCACCACATACTTTATGTTCTGTTCTGTAATGTCTCTCCTACATAATAGGTTTTTACATGTTTTGAAGGTTAAATATTCTGGCTGTACTAATTCCTCAAAACCTTCACCCATTGACATCATTGATTTAATTCATTTGCATACAGCAAAGCAGTGCACAGGAAATAATCGATTTTCTTTACTTTACCCTCAGTAGCAAAAGTCTTTTCCTATTAAGTAAAACCTCATATACCTTTAGTAAATGACCAGTAAAGTTAATGAAACTTTTCACACATAGTTAAAAGCATATAATACACATTATCCATTAGACGATTGATTAATTTTTACTCAAAAAATTACAGACAGAACATATACCTAAAACAATGATGTGACTTTTTCCAAGTTTGTGACATCAAAGTTACCTAAGATTGCCAAACTGTCCAAGGTCAGGCTGCTCTGTAAAACTAAGCAGACAAAAGTCTGTATATAAAATGCTAATTATGAGCAATCAGAATATGTTACAGACTTTACAAATGATCCTGTACATGACAGTTGTATATTTCATAAAATAAAGATGTCACTGAAAGTTGTATAATAACAATGCAAAAGTCCTTACACTTGGGTCTTACAACACTGTTGCCTAACTGTTAATTGTTATGCTATGTTTCCTTAACACGTACCCCTTTTCTGCCAAATGAATTCAACGAGTATGATTTTGTGACTAATGTGTCAATTTGATTTTCTCAGGGGTTTATCTTCTAAATATTCTTGATGTAATTTTGGTATTTAATTCAAATGAATCTATGATATTTCCATTTTATTGCAATAATTTTGAATCATAATGCATTGAACATTAATATATTAATAATAGCAGTGCTTATTGTGATGACATATATCTGATTTTCTCAAATAATTTCTGGCAGGATAGGGTTGAGTGTAGTATAACATGGTCTAGGGCTGTTAGTAAAATATATGAGGACAATCAGAGAATATTTAATAACATTCTGCTCATAATTAGCATTTTATATACTGATATAAAAGGATTTTTGTCTGCATACTTTTACAGAGCAACCTGCTTTTGGTCATTTTGACGTCACAAAGTGTCACATCAGTGTTTTAGGTATATGTTCTGTATGTAATATTTTGAGTAAAACATTGATCAATTGTCAATTTACTGTCTCCACCTCTTACCTCAGCAGATGGCTTATCCATGAAGTCAAACTGAGCTATATTTTTAATTCCCAAAGCCAAAAGCTGTAAAGTTACGCTGCATAGATTGCACCTGAGGATCTCAGGGCGTGTGTTTGTTGGCAATGCTTCATAGTCCTCCTCTGTATAAAGACGATAACACGTTCCAGCTGATTCACGTCCTAAAACCATCATTTCATTATTCATTATAATTCCCTTTTTACCCCTCCAGTTATTCAATGCCTCAGTTTCATCTTGGGTCATAGTAGTTAACATTAAGTAGTTAACAGGTCAAATATGAACGGTCTGATACAATATATCATAGAGAAATCTACTAAATGTACTTCAGTGTTCACACATGGAGGTTTTAGTGTACCTACTTTATCTAGGCAACTATTGATTATGATTTTGCTATTATTTAATACTATTATAAATATATCATTGGCAACAAGGCATTAACATTGACAAATTATATACTTGTAATTGTAATCACAAATTAAAGTGTAAACATACAGGGTGTTCAGGAAATAACGATAATAATGTCATAACTTTTTTATTTGTTCATGGATTGCATTGAAAGTTTCAGAGATTATAGTTTTAACATATTTTAACTTATAGTTGGAGTTTCAGCCTCAGGTGATTTGATTGGTTAATTCTGTGGTAGTCATAGCAACGCGAGTAGCGCTAAGGCGGGGCAGGTGGAATAACTGCAGTATATTTGCATGTTTTAAATGTTTTAAAAAGAGATTCTATCATGTTAATGACTTAAAATAGATGCTTAAACATAGTTATAACTATAAGCCTGAAATTCTTTGCCAATTTATCAATTTATTTTACATAATTTCCTCCATTTTAGACAGAAACTCTTGCCTCTTGAACCTTCCTCAAATACTTCACAGAATTCTTCTTGACTCATTTCCTGAAGTCTGTTTAACACATGTGAACGTATGGCATGAGTATTCTCAAATGCATGTCCTCATTAGTCCCGTTTTGATACAGCAAAGAAGTATAAATCATTTGGCGCTAGGTTGGGTGAATAAGGTGGATGCTTGAGTTGCTCTAATCTCAGCTGTTCAATTTCTTTAGTGATTATGGCAGCAGTATGGGAGGGGGAATTGTCCAAGTGGAAGAGAAATTGCATCCCGGTCGCTTTCTGTGTAATGCCTGCATTAAGTTATGAATAATAAGCCATTGAATATCATTAAAAAAGTATTTATTTGACTTTTATATCATAAAACAAACAATAGAAATTTTTTATAATAGAGATGCACCAAGAAAGCTTTAAATATGGAGTCAAAATCGGTTTTCCATGCTAAATGTAACACAGAAACTACTGCAGTTATTCCATGTGCCCCGCCTTAGCGCTACTCGCGTTGCTATGCCAACCACAGAAATGACAAATCAAATCGCTTGAAGCTGAAACTCCAAAAGTAAGTTTGAATATGTTTAAACTATAATTCCTGCAAATTTGATTGAAATCCATGAATAACAGAATGTAACAGAAGCACCAGTCACAAATAAGAAAACAGTGGCTAAAATAATAATACACCCTATAATACACGCTATCTTGTACAAAGTACATAGTTACATAAACATCCTCACCTGCCCTCCCTGACCTTTGCCATGCCTGAGCCTTGGAGGTCTTCTGAACCTTCAACATGTCCAGTCCACTACGGGGGTTAAACGTTCTGGAATAAATGGAACAAATTCAAATAAAACAGCAGATGGCATGGTCTACATGTTCAGGCCACTATGGGGATTAAATTACAAGTTATGAACTAAATTTAACATGATATGAACAGATGGAGATTGGCTTGTGTGATAAATGCATACTATTTATACCTATTGATATAGATGTGTCTTAGTGTCCACTATTAAGTGTATCTTTTTACATTCTTTGTAGAAACTTGACAGTTTATCCTCAAATTTATTAAAAGATTCATTGGCATTGGTGACATTAGTAATATTATTCCAAGTTTCACGAGAGATGATTTCTTTGAAATTTATGATATTTTTGTTTCATTATGTCACCACCAAAAAGTGGTGACATATTCTTATTGTCTCCGTTTCTTTGTGACAGCGGTTGGCGATCAGCAGTTGGCGATTGGCAGTTGGTGGTTGGCGATAGGCGGTTGGGGTCTGTAACAATTATTTAAACGTCCAATAACTTTTTAGAACGTCCAAATACTGTTTAGACTGACTTCAGTTTTTTTCAAAATCATCTACAAGTTTTGAGAAGTTCAAATCTGACTTTGCATTTAAGAGTTGACATTCAGTGACCTTTTCAAGGTCAAAAAAGGTCAAAAAGGTCTTTTTTCAACTTGCTTCAAATTGAAATTTTTTTTACAAAATCATCTACAAGTTATCAGAAGTTCAAATCAGACTTAAGATTTGAGATTTGACCTCCATTGACCTTCTCAAGGTCAAAAAAGGTCAAAAAGGTATTTTTTCAACTTGCTTCAAATTGACCAATTTTTTTCAATATCATCTAGAAGTTCTCAAAAGTTCAAATCTGACTATACATCTGACCTTCAATGACATTCTCAGGGTCAAAAAGGTCTTTTTAACTTGCTTCAAATTAACAATTTTTTTTCAAAATCATCTCAGAAGTTAAAATCTGACTAGATTGAACTAATAATATTGTGAGCAACTAGGTGGTGACATTTTGCCATGTTAATGGATTATTGAGGTTTGTCAGAAATAGCAAAAATTGGGAAATGATAAATGATTCCACACAAGGCAATTTTGGGGTTGTAGCGTTCATGTTTTCTG